AAAAGCGCCCCCTCGCCCTGCGGCAGCGACCCGGGAAGTGGCTCCCAGGCTGGTGCAGCCTCTGCTGTTGTGGGGATGGGGAGGGGAGCAAATCCTCCTTCGCGCTTGGGAGATGGTGGTTTGGCCTTGACAGCCCTCCTGGAGGACGGCGGAGACGGCCGGGTAGCGGCAGCAGACACTGGCCTGGCGAGTGACTGGGCTGCAGTGTCGTCAGGCTGCAGGATCAGGGACGATGTGCTGGGGACCTCGATTAACTTTCTCCTGGGGACGTGGCGTTAGGAGGCCTGGCCTGAGGGTGCCTTGGTTGGCGTCTCGGGGTGAGCTAGCTGGCTGCGCGGAGGGAGGGTTGGGATGGGCACCGGGGGCATCCCGGAAGCAGGGGGTAGCTTGGAGGGAGGGAATGGGGAGCCGGGGCTGTAACTGGGTACTGGCGAGAGGATGTACGAGGGCGTCCGGGGAGGTATCTGGGCTGCTTGCAGTGGGGCTGCCATGGTGCGAGGTAGCCGGACGCTGGGGCAATGCCTTGCAGGGGCAGCCAGGCATGCCAGCGGGTGCCTGGGTCGAGCGGCGCATTGTTTGCACAGGTATCAGGCTTTAAAACGTCCTCCCACCCCCCTTTCCTGTAAGGCAGCCCAGCTCTTATTCTGCAAGCGGGCGGGGTCCCCTCTCCACACCCAGCCCCCGCCTTGAGGCCTCAGGCCCTAGCCGGCGGCCTGAGCCCGCTGCCTTCTCCTTTCCCATCTCCCTGGCGGCATGGCTGGCTCAGCTCACTACTGCCCCCCAGTGCGGTGCCGCTCGGGACGGGACAGCATCCGTGCCCAGCCCCGCAGAGCGTGGGTCCGCTCTGGCTCCCTCCGTTGGTTCCACTCCTGCTCGGGGCGGGGTGGGGCTCTCACACAACAGAAATCACCTGGGATTTTGAAGCTCCCCTCCGCGAAGGGAAACCCCCTTTCCTCGCGGTCAGGGGAGGAGACTCTAATGCCTGCCGGCTGGGGGGCCCCTACAGCTGGGACTTTAACTAGACACACCTGCCGGGCCCGGAAAACCCCCTCCCCGCCCACGCTAGCGAATCCCCCAGGGAGCAGCCTTGGCAGCGACCCGCCTTCCCCTTCCCTCTCGCGGGCCGGGGAGCGGTCCAAGGACCCTTCAGAAGGTGAGGGCAGGAGAGGAGGTTGCGGGGGGGGGGAGATCCCCGCCCCTTGACTTCTCCCCACTATGTGCCGCCTCTCTCCAGCCTCCCCGCCCAGCGCTGCCGGTCATGTGGAAGGGGGAGGGCGGAGAGGGTGTCACGTCCTGCCGGGGACCAATGGCGGTATCTGTTGATGTTGGGCCCAGCTTCATGCTCATAAGGCCAGGCCCCTGCTCTGCTCCGCCTGCTGCCGCGGGAGGACGCAGCCGGGCAGCATCCCGGGCTGCAGCTCTCTGTGGCCGTGGGGCGGGAGCCGGAGTGCGTTCGCTTTCTGCCGCCGGGCAGCTCTATGCTCAGCCCCGGGAAGCAGGGACCTAGCAGAAGGCAGAGCGCAAGCGCCCCTCGCCTCCTGTCTGCAGGGTCAAGCATGAGAGAGGATGAGCCAGAGACCCACCCTGGTGCATCTCTTTGCTGGAGGGTAGGTGCAGCCACTAATTTATCTCCCTAGCTCCTGCTCTCTGGATACTGCCCGGGGTGTGGAGGCCTGGAAGGCCGGAGGCTCTGATAGTGGGAGTGAATTTTTTTTCTTGGGGGGAAATTGTGGATGCACTTTGGGGGCATAGATGGTGGGGGGTATTTATAGTTTGTCTGAGGGAGAGGAACGTATCCTCCACACACCTCCCTCCACCCCAGGGTAGAAGAAATTGGAGAGGTGCTGCAGGCACAAGCATGTATCTGGCTAGCAGCAGAGGCCATTGGCTGGGATGGATTTGGAGCTGTTTGCTGCACCTTTGTATATCTTTGCAGGAGGCATGGTCTCCTTACTGTTGTGCTGCAGGGGTGGGTGCCAGGGGTCTGTCTTCATCTTCTCAGGTCCTGTAATGTGAGGAGCATGTTTTGATGGTCTGCCCATTGTAGAGTTGCTTGCAAGGCCCTCAGTCAGTTCCTGGAGTGGAAAGAGGGTAGTGGTATGGTGGCAAGGAAGGAGAAGAGAAGGTTCATCTAGCCAGATCTTTTAGGAAAGAGTAACTTCACTGTGTGCATGTTCCACACATGCATGTACAGCTGCAAGGAGGGGGAGACAGGAACTCATTCTCAGAGCTACTCATTTGACCGTAGTGTTCTGGTGCAGCTGGGAGCGGATGCCTTAGTTGGGTTGTGTGAAGAATTATGAGGGTGGGCTTTCTGGTTGTTGTGGATAGTTGGGAATATAGCCTGGAGGGAGGGCAGGTCTCTCAGACTGCAGAATATAGATACAGACTGAATTATGGGATTTGGTTGTGAGTAGATGCTCTGGGATTTTAATGGGCATAACCCGTGTCTGACCCCAGTACTTTACTTGTAACAGTGTCTGGGCAAGTACAGTTAATTCCAGTTTCTGCTCTTCAGATGCACTATGGGGCTGTGCCCCTGCTCACTGTGCTCACCAACTCTCCCCCTCCCCCCCACTGTGGTTAGGCAACCCTGGCTTTCCTCCTGGCTGCGGAGCGGGGGGTCTGCAGCCATGCCAGTCCGGGCCCGTTCTCTCCCCTCTGCCCCCTCTGTGCCAGTCCAGGCCCCTTCTCTGCCCCCTGCCTGGGCCTTCCTTCTCTCCCCTCCCCCGCACCTGCCTGGGCCCCTTTTCCCTAGCCCCTGCCAGCCTGGATCCTTTCTCTCTCCCCTGGTGGCCGTAGCACGTGCCAGGCCCATCTCTAACTCTGGCGGCTGGGGAGGTGCATAGATGCCTGCAGACCTGCACGATGTGCACTGAAGTGCAGGTAGTGCCATGTGCATGTGCTGTTCTGGGGTACTTGCAGAGCCCAGGGCTGCCCGTCCCCTGCCCAGGAGCAGA